AAGGCTGGGAGTCACACTCTTCCCTTCACTTCAGACCAGCCAGCACCTTCTCTTACATCCTTAGTCCTCAGGGACTATTATTTCAATGCCCATAGGCTCACAACTCCTTGCACTTCAGACTAGCTAGCCCTTCCTCTCATCCCCAGCCTCCATGGCCTAGGTCAAAGAGTACCAAACTCAGCCCATTTCTTCTTTGCTGCACTTCCCCCATTGCCACTCAAGTGGACCCAGGTGGTCACAAGTGAATAGCATACAAGCCTACTACTTGCTGGCTTCCTTTAACTTTCAGTTCTGCAAGGGGTTTCTCCCATGGACCATGACTTTCCTGCCTCAGTGCACCCAAAACCTGTCTGCTTGCTCGAAATTAAAAAAGTCTAACAGTTTCCTTTTTTTTTTTTTTTCCTCTTCAGGTCCTTATTCAAATGCAAATCTTCTGTTTCCTCAGTATTACTAGGTGGGGCTCAGGTTTTCTGTCTAAGCCCCCTATACTGTACACACAGGGTTTGAAACAAAAGCCTGTTTCTTCTGGGCAAATTCTATTTCCCCTTTTAACATATCCAATCAAGTATCAGCTGAAGGTGGATTTACACACTCTCCGTTATCCATACCCCATAATCATTTGTAATGTACAAGCAGGTAAGAGAACATTCGATACCCATAGTACATTCAGATAAACACATAATCCAAAACACAAAATCCTTTTTAAGACATTCCAGGTTTCTCTTCACCTTGATTACCTTCTCATTCTATGTACATGGTGTAACCAAAAGCCCTGGCCTCTGAATCAATATCTCCTTTAAGAGGTAATACCAACCAAAGTAATCATCTGAGCATCCAAAGTTTCACTTCCCAGGCCCCTACCTTCTTTCTTTTATGAAGTTCCATGCTTCTATCACTCTGGGGCCACTGCAATGAATCCCACTTCTGACACCAACTGCCAAAGGGGCTGGAAGGCTGCATCTTATGACCTCCTCTAACCCCACAAGAGGAAGACAGAATTACCATTGGTAGCCCAAGGCCTATCCCTGAGAGTCCAGACATGCCACCTCCCTCCAGCCCTTTCCTCAACCCTCATACCAACCGTTCCTCCTGCGGCACTCACCACCTCTCTGCTGGGTTCAGTAATTTGCTGCAGTGACCACACAGAACTCACAGATTATGGGGCTTATTAGGGAAGCACCAGGCTACAATTCAAGTTCAGGAACAATGCTCAATCTCTCTCAGCCTGCCATCTCTCAGCCAACAGTCTCTTTCAGTCTCTCTCCCAGAAGTGTGTGTCTCTCGGTGTCTCTTTCTCAGCAGTGCATGTCTCTTGGTGTCTCTCAGCAGCATGTATCTCAGGAGCACATTTCTCTCAGCAGCATGTCCTTCTTAGTCAGCAGTCAGAGACTCCTTCTGCCTCTAGGAGGGCTCCTCTTGAGGCTGAACCAACCAATCCCAACATCAGAATTCTATACACCTGAGAGAGAGAGCGAACTTCCCAGAAAATTACTTTGTGCTGCTCCCAACAGAAATATTCCAGGTGGCTTACTTTATCAATCAGGAGCTACTCAGTTTCTCACAGCAAATTCCACCATGGAGTTTACAAAGACTTATGGCTAGAAAATCCGTACCAGGTAATTTACTACATCACATATATTGACAGGGAACTTCCAGAAATGCAAGCTGGATTCAGAAGAGAACGTGGAATGAGAGATATCATTGCTGATGTCAGATGGATCTTGGCTGAAAGCAAAGAATACCAGAAAGATGTTTACTTGTGTTTTAGTGACTGCAAAAGCATTTAATTGTGTGGATCATAACAAATTATGGATAACATTGAGAAGAATGGGAATTCCAGAACACTTACTTGTGCTCATGAGGAACCTGTACATGGACCAGGAAGCTGTTGTTTGAACAGAACAAGGGAATGCTGCATGGTTTTAAATCAGGAAGGGAGTGTGTCAGGGTTGTATCCTTTCATCATACTTATTCAATCTGTATGCTTAGCAAGTAATCCAACAAGCTGCACTATATGGAGAAGAGCATGGCATCACGATTGGTGGAAGATTCATTAACAACCTGGGATATGCAGACGACACAACTTTGCTTGCTGAAAGTGAGGATGACTTGAAGCACTTGTAGTATGGATTACACCTCAACATACAGGAAACAAAAATCCTCACAACTGTACCAATTAGCAGCATCATGATACATGGAGAAAAGATTGAAGTTGTCAAAGATTTCATGTTACTTGGTTCCACAATCAACACCAATGCAAAAAGCAGTGAAGACATCAGATGACATATTGCACTGGGCAAATCTGCTGCAAAAGATCTCTTTAAAGTTCTGAAGAGCAAAGATGTCTCTTTGAAGACTAAAGTGCGCCTAACCCAAGCCTTGGTATTTTCAGTTGCCTCATATGTATGTGAGAGCTGGACAATGAACAAAGAAGACTGAAGAAGAGGTGATGCTTTTGAGATGTGGTGCTGGTGAAGAATACTGAAAGTACCATGGACTGTCAAAAGGACTAACAAATCCGTCCTGGAAGAAGTGCAGCCAGAATGCTCCTTGGAAGTGGTAATGGCCAGACCTTGTCTGACCTACTTTGGTCATGTTGTCAGAAGGGACCGTTCCCTGGAGGATATCATGCTTGTTAAAGTGGAGGGTCAACGAGAAAGGGGAAGGCCCTTAATGAGATGGATTGACACAGTGGCTGCAAAGATGGGCTCAGGATAGCAAGTATTGTGAGGCTGGTGCAGGACCAGGCAGTGTTTCATTCTTTTGTACACAGGGTCACTATGAGTTGGAACTAACTCGCCAGCACCTAACAACAACAACAACAACTCCCCTGCCTCTCCCTTCCTGACTATTCTAGACCATACTGACCCGCAGCTACTTAAACCTGACCCCTCACTGGCCTTATGCCTTGGGGCCTGGGCTGTCTGTCCTGTGACCAACCTGCTGTTTGCTTTGAGTCCCAGGTTCCCGAGTCTTGCCTCTTTCCTGGCTTAGTGATGCCCTCCCCCAGCATGCTGTGGACCTACATCTAGAGACTCTGCTATGGCTAACCACCACGCTGTCCATCAGAAAGCTCCAGGCTGAGCTGCTTGACATTCCTACCTTTCATTTACTATGAACTGTGTTGAGGCAAGTTTCTCCCCCTTCCTTATGGTTAGAATTTTTCAGGGCATGGGGCTTGGCCTCAATTTCTCCACCTCTGACTGGGCAATCTAAAAATGGTCTTCTAGACCCAAGCTCTTTTAAGATTCTGGTAAACTTTTTTCTTCTAAAAATTATTTACAAGCTCTTGCATTTTCTTTCATTCTTAACTCCAGCTGGCATGAAGGCAGGCCCTTGACTGAAGCTTAAACTGTTTTGAGGTCTCACTGCAAAGGAGACCTGGGCCCTGTCTTGCAGTGAGGGCTCTCCTCTGAGCCCAGGTTCCACATCTCATGGTCTCTTCCATATCTCCTCTTGAATGACTCAAAAATGAGCTTTCTCCAGTTTAACAGATAAGCCTGAATCTCTGCTCCTCCCCTCAAAACGTGTTTCTTCCTGTTTTCCCATCTCAGTAAACAATCCTGTAACCACCCAGCTGCATCAGCCCAAACTTCACATTGAGACCTTATCCTACTTACCCAAAATTTTGACACTTTCATTTCCAAATCATTTCTCAAATCTGCCCCCTTTTCACCTCTTTCCACCTGAAATTACCATCACCTGAAGACTGTACAGCTTCCTCACTGGTCTCCCTGTCCAGAAGCCTTTGCCCTCACTATGTCCAAACCATTCTCCCCATTTTTTCATTCTAAAAATAGGCAAAGCATCCAAAACTAACTGCTCTCCAGTCTATTCCAACTCATAATGACCCTATAGGACAGAGTAGAACCATCACCGTAGGGTTTCCATGGCTGTAATCTTTAC